CCCACCCCCACCCCGCCCCCTCGCTGGTGCGGGCGCCTTCACTGCGCCTGACAGGCAGGGCAGGGCTTCTCCTGGGAAGCGGATGACGCTCAGTGGCCGGCTGGTGGAGTGGCTGTGCCTAAGGAAGCCCAGGGCTGCAGAGAGAGGGAGACATCCTCCTCCGCAGGTCCTTCTCCTACGTGGACAGCTATAACGGGGACATTCGCTTTGACAACATCTACATCAGCACCTACTTCTGCCAGATCGATGAGCGCAGGAAGAAGCTGGTGAGTGGGCCCAGCCTCACCCGAGGGTGCGGGTGCGCCGCTAGCTGCCCTGTGGCTTCGCGCTCCGGGAGGGCAGGGGGGTAAGGGGGGAGACGGTCCTTGGTGTTCCTCGCGGTGTGGGCACCTTTTTCCAGGGCAAACGGACTCTGCTGCCGCTCCGCAAAGCTGAGAAGAAGACGGTCATCTTCCCCTTCGACCCCACCATCCAGGCCTCAGAAATGAGAAATGTGGTGAGGATGGCAGGGCGGCCACGAGAGGCACAGATCTGAGAGTGGAGGGCAAAGGCCTCGAGAGGGCGCCATGCCGGGGCAGGTGGGTGCCCCGCTCCACCCCTCCTGCTCCTGGCAGGTCAGGGAGCTGCTGGAGACACTGCCGGTTCTGCTGCTGCTCCTGGTGCTGTGTGGGCTGGACTGGGCCCTCTACTCCATCTTCGACACCATCCGCCGCCACTCCTTCCTGCAATACTCCTTCCGCAGTGAGCGCGCCCCGACACCGCCCTGTGCAGCCACCCACCCCGATTCTTCCCATTTTGTCTCCGCCTCTGGGTCTCAGCCCCTTTCTGTCCTCCTCAGGGTCATATCTGAGCCCTGCCACCTGACAGCTGTTCCCGGGGCCCTCGGTTTCCAGCCCCTTTACATCCACAAGAGAAAGGGCTTGGCACTCAGTAAAGGGGTGGACTGTGCACCTGAGAAGTGTTTCTGAGCTTGGACCTCTCCTCATCCCCTTAACTCCAACTCCTCACCTAACCCCTACATCATCCCCCATCCCCCAACCCCCACCCCACAACCCTGGATCTTTGCCTCAGGCAGTCATAAACTGGAGGTGAAAGTTGGGGGGGACTCCCTGATTGCCCGGCTTCTTCGGAAAACCATCGGGGCCCTGAACACCTCCTCGGAGATGGTGGTGGAATCAAACAACATGCGTGAGTGATGCTGAGATTTGGGAGCAGAGGAGTGGAGGGCTGAGGGGCGGCCAAGGCCACAAGTGGGGGACTGGGCCTTGGTGGGGAGAGATGGGGTGAGAGGAGACTGATTGGGTTGGGGAACCAGAGCAGGAAACATCAGGTCCAACTTGAAGAGTTGGAGGATGACAGACTTGGGTCAGAGGAGCCTGGGGGCTGGGCCTTAGGGCTAGAGGGTCCCACAGAACTTCCTGCCCCCGATGGAAATGGTCTACATCTGCGCTGTGGTGAGCACATAGCCACCTGGGCCCTTGATGGCCCAGTTCTTCAGGGGGCGGGGGAAGCAGGAGTCCAGCAAGGTTTCAGACCTAACCCGCGCCCTCACTGGGGTGGGAATTCAGCCAGGGCTGCCCTGTCCCTCAGCGGCCAGACAGCCAGACCCTTGACAGGCCTCCCCGCCCCCAGCCTGCCTGCCTCAGCCCGTGCGCCTGAGCGCCGGAGCCTACGCAAAGACTGGACTCCCCACCGGCCTGCTAGTGTGTCTCTGTCTGCTCCAGGCTTTCGGCTACCGGCTCCGGAGGGTCATCGCAGCCTTCTACTTCCCCAAGGTTTCTACTTCCCCAAGGTGCACCCTGGCCTCTCCCCTGACCTCCCCACCCCTCCGGGCAGCGCGCACACACACACACACACACACACACACACACACACACACACACACACACCAGCCGCCGCAGCTCCCCCGGCGCTGGCCCTGACCCTCTCCTCCTGGCCCAGCGAGAGAAGCAGCGGATCCTGTTCTTCTACAATGAGCTCCTGAGGAAAAGAGCGGCCTTCACCAAACTGAGGAGGGCGGCCATCGTGAGGCAGGCGCGAGAGCAGAGAGGCCGAGTAAGTCAGGCCAGGCCTGCGTGCTGTGGCTCCCGGCTGGGCCTGAGAACCCCGAAGGAAGGGCTTCCCCCTTCCCAGCCCCCACCAGGCTCCAGGCCTCTGGGAGCTCCGTGAGTTCAGACATGATTCATGCCAAGGGGCCTGGTCATCTGCTCCTGGACGTCAGGGCTGTGTCCATCTCTGAGCCCCAGACGTCAGCCCAGCCTGAGCTCCTCAGAGGACCAGCAGGAAGCAGGCAGAAAGGGGGAATAAGATGTGATACAGGCTGATCGAAGGAAAGCAAGAGGGGTTCATCAGAAACCAGGGACCACGGCAAAGCTACAGGGCCTGCTGAGAGGCCTGCAGACCAGAAGCTCGGGGCAGTCCATAGGAGGCCAGGGAGGTGGGGGCTGGGGGCCAGGGAGGCCTCATGAAGGGCGCGTGGTATATGGAAAGCTCATTGAGTCGGAAGAACCAGGCTCCAGTCCACACTCCCTCATGAAGCTGTGTTACTCTGGCCATAGTCCCCACTGGACCTGGGTCTCCCTCTGAAGAACAAGGGGCGGGGGGGTGGGGGGGGAGACAGATCTGCAGGCCTGCTCCCTAGAGACTAGTAACAGAGTGATGGTCAGGTGTGGGGCTCCGGTGCCAGAGGACCTGGGTTTAAATCCTGGCCCCTGTCCTTATTACTATGACAACTATATGATGTTGAGCACTTACTTAAATGCTGTGCCTTGATTTTCTGTAAAGTGGAGTTACCCACTCCATTTGGGTGTGGTAAGGATTAAGTGAGTTCTGCTGTCGCGGTGCAAGCACACAGAAAGTTCTGAACACGTGTTAGTTGTCATCGTGTGACTCTAGGCACGTGACCACCTCTCCAACCATCAGTTTTCTCACGTGGAAAAGAGATGATGAGGATGAAAACCATGCCTGCCTCACATGGTTATTGTCTGAATTGAGCTAATTCACTTACAGTTTCTTAGTACAGGGCCCAACATTATTCAAAAACAACAGCAGCAACAAGTGGTACTTGTTCTTATTCAATCAGCCCTAAGCAAACTCATCAAAGTGAGAATGTCTGTTTAACTTTTTCCTCCTGTGCCCAGATCCCCTATCCCCCATGAAACGCAACATGGACTGATACAAAAACAACAACAACAACAAAAACACCCAGCAATAACAAACTGTGTCCCATGACCCGGTCCTGAGTAAAGTGGATTTTGATGGGCAGATAGAAATGTGAAGGGCATTCATTCCATGCGGAGGGAACAGAATGTGCAAAGACTAAGAATCCAAACAGAGGGCGTGCCGAGTGCCAGGGCTAGTCTAAGGAGGCGGGTACAGCTCAGGAAGGGGTACGCTGGGGCAGAGGCTGGAAAGGCACCAGGTTGGGGGAGGCTAGGAAAGCCATGCCCAGGAGTCCTGCCTTTGGCAGGCAGTGCAGCTCTTGGAGTTTTGGGAGCCAGAGTGACCTGATCAGGTGGCCGGTGGGGAGAGGGTGGGAGAGAGGGCACCCACCAGGGCACCTGGGTGCAGCCAGGTTTGATTGTTTGTGATCTGTGTGCCTTTGGGAAAGTCACTTCACCTTTGTGAGACTCATCTTCCTCATTTGCAAATTGGGGAACACAACAGTGATCGTCTTATCTGTCCTCCTCACTTTGCAGCCCCACCCTGAGAACCAAATAAGATGACTGATGGGAAAATGAAAATGATGGTTACTGCTGTTGTCCACGCTGCATCCTCCCACTCTCTATTTTTTTAAAATATATTTTTATTGATTTCAGAGAGGAAGGGAGGGGGAGAGAGAGAGAGAGAAACATCAATGATGAGAATCATTGATCTGCTGCCTCCTGCACGCCTCTCACTGGGGATTGAGCCCGCAACCCGGGCATGTGCCCTTGACCGGGAATCCAACCGTGACCTCCTGGTTCATTGGTCAACACTCAAGCACTGAGTTCCACCAGCCGGACCCTCCCACTCTCCATCATGGAGTGCGGGAGGGCAGCTCTCTAGGACCCGCCTCCATAGCACCGTTGCCCTCCGGGGTCGTCTTTGCCCAATCCAGTTTCCTCCAGCTCGTGGGCACTGTCATGCCTCGAGACTTCCGGAGAGAAGTGCTGGCCAGTTCCCCTCCGCCCTTTCCCCACCTCGCTCCCTCTCTAGCTCTACACCCTCCTCGCTTCCCAACAGCGCCACGACCTGGCGGACATCCTGCACCGCCGCTGCCCCTTCCTGCGCCCCTGGCTGCGCCGGCGCTGTGTGGTGTGCCAGGCCCCGGAGACGCCCGAGTCCTACGTGTGCCCGACTCCGGACTGCGAGGCTGTGTACTGCCGGTCGTGCTGGGACGACATGCGGCAGCGCTGCCCGGTCTGCACACCCCGGGAGGAGCTCTCCTCCTCCGCCTACAGCGACAGCAATGATGACGCTACCTATGCGGAGTGAAGGGGATCCTGCGCGCTCCCACTTCGCCCTTCCTAATTAATAAAATGCCGTGCACACTCCCGCCGCCCGCGCTCCGCAGGGATCTGGTACGCGGGCGGGAGCGAACCGGGCGCTGCCCAGCGGGCAGCGGGGAGAACTGGCCCCGATCGCCGCAGGGCCGGGCGGCGGACTGGAGGCGGGAGGCAGCAACGCTGCTAGAAGAAGTCCGGACCTGCGGCGGGTGGAGAAGCGACGCCCCAGCCGGTCGGACCGGCCTCGGCTCCCACCCAGCACAGCGGCAGGAAAGCGGCGGCGCTGCGCTGAGCGAGCGTAGTTCGGGGCCGGGACCGACTCCTTTGCGACCCGGAGGGGCGGGGCCTCTCCGGGGGCGGGGCCGCTGCGGGAGGGGCGGGGCCTGGCTCGGGAGCCTGTGAGAGGGGAGGGGCGGGGCCTGGCGGCGGGAGGGGCGGGGCCGCGGCGGGAGGGGCGGGGCGGGGCCTGGCTCGGGACCCTGTGAGAGGGGAGGGGCGGGGCCTGGCGGCGGCCCGGCGCGGCGCAGTGCGCGAAGCAGACCCGGCCGCCGCTGGACTCGGCGCGCGGCCCGGCACCTGCCGCCCTCGCCGGCCCCGGGCGCCGCTGTCATGCGGCTGGCGCTGCTCTGGGCCCTGGGGCTCCTGGGCGCGGGCAGCCCCCTGCCCTTCCCGTCGCTTCCAGGGACAAGTGAGTGCGGGGCCAGGAGTGGGCCAGGGCAGGACTGGAAAGGGGCGCAGCGAAGTCGGGAGGCATCGGGGGCACAAGGAGACCCAGCGCGGCCGGCCCTCGTCTGCGGTCCTGGGCGAGGGCCGGCGACTGGGCGATGGAGAGGAGAGGAGAGGAAAGGAGGGTCACCCTCGGCACGGTCCCCGCGGACACTCTCGGGCGCTGGTTCCAGCTCCCGGGGCCTGGAGCAGCGCCCCGCCCCTCCGGGAGTGGGTCACTGCGCCCCAGGACTGAGGCCTCGCTCCTTTGGGGCCTGGCCGGCCGTTTCACCCGGGCCAGGGTGCCCAGTGGACACACTCGTAGGGTTGGCGAAGAGGATTCTTGCCGCCGCCACCTAGGCCTGAACGGCCAGGCACCTCTCACTCTGGTGCTGATGCCACCAGAAACCTGGCTGAGCTGGCGGGGGCCCGGGAGACGCCAAAAGAGGGGAGAATTGGCCAGGAAAGAGGCTGGGACACCAACTCCTCCTTGGAACTTTCACTTCCTGCTGCGGTCTTGGGCCGGGGGCCGAGCGGGCAGGCGAGGGTGGAGTGTCCGGAGGAGAGAGGGCCATTGTGTGAGGGGGGGGACCCAGGGAGGAAGCAGAGGCTGTGGGGAGCGGGTGTGCCTAACTGGGCATGAGGGGTGTTTAGGGAGGGCATGGTGGTGTTTGCACTGCTCACCCAGAAATGGGCGTTCCCAGAATCTCCGACGTGAGAAAAGGGGAGGGTGAGTGGGCACCCAGCCACCAGGCTTCCCTCAGTCCTCGTAGGGGGCATTGCTTGGGGGGGAGGGAGATTGGGTGGGAGTGGGAGGGGAGAGGGCCCCTATGAGAACCTGGGATTGGCCTGAGGGCGAGAGGGAGGAGCCACAGGCTGGGCTAGCTCAATTTCTTTGGGGATTTGGGGATGTTGGTGGAATGAAGGCCCACTATTGGAGGAAGCCCCCACCCCCAGTATTCTCCTTTTAAGTCCCAGCACGCAGTTCAGGAGCCCTTCAGGCAGAGAAGGGGCCTTGAAGTACCTGGGAACCAGGGCGGTCCGAGGGCACCAGCTGGGGCTGAGTGTCTCAGCATGCTCTTGGGGTACTCTGGGGACCCTGCAGGTGGCACCAAGGAGGAGCAGGCAATTCCAGAGAAGACCCCGAGTGGGCCCTTGGGACCCCAGATCCTTCAGGACAACCTCACACTCAGCATAGCAGAGGTGCTTCAGGTGAGCCTCTCCGTACCCTCAAGTAAATACCACCCTGTCACCCCCCGAGTCAGGTGCCTCAAGATGAAGCTTGGCTGAAGAGCAGGTGAGTGGACCTCACTGTGGCTCGGCCACCTCTCCCATCACACCCCAGCACCCGGCTTCATTTAGCTCCCTCCCCCTTCTCCACCCATCTGCCTCAGCCCCACCCAGCCCATCCATGGCCACTGGGAAATCCTGAGGTCAAACTTGATTTCTTGGTCTCATTTGTTGGTTTTCTCCATGGAGGGACTTGGAGAGAGAGTCAGGACCTCACCCAGTGCCCTCCCCTTACCCCCAATTCTAAAGCTGAGTCAGAGGAAGGGCTGGGGCCTGCACCGAGTCCTCCACGATGCTTCCTCTCTGGGCAGGAAGCCGAGAAGGGGGCGGCTCAAGATACCTTCTTTGACCTCCCAGCACAACCCCCCAGAACAATGCCCCAGGCCAGACAGGCCTTCCTGACCCCTCCCTTGGGACAGCCCCCCCAATCAGTGATGTAATCATTGGTGCTCTCCTAAGGGCCTGACACTCTCTGGTCAGGGAGAATAGGAATTTTGGTGTAGGGCCAGGGCGGTGACCTGTTCTCTGGTGCCCACAGACCAGCCTGCCTGAGACTTTACGGATCAAATTGGAATTGGATGGTGAGAGTCATATCCTGAAGCTGCTACAGAATAGGTAAAGGCCGGGGTAATAATAATGATAACAATAACATGGCTAACAACTGATATGGCATTTACTGTGTGTTAGGTACTAAGTGCTTGAATTCATATAATCCTCATAACAACCCTACAAGGAGATACAAGTAATGTGTTATTACTGTCCTCGTTTTATACATAAAGAAGTCAAGGCACAGAGAGGTTACATAACTTGCCCGAGCTCACACAGCTAGTGTGTGGTGAAATCCAGGTTGGAACCCGGAAAGCCTGGCAGAATTTGTGGCCCAACCACTATGCTCTGCTGCCTCAGGGGGGAAGCAGGAAGGATGGGGCAATGCCTGGCACCCCGTTAACCCGCTGTCACCTTCAGGCCGCAGGCTGGCCCCGCAGCACCCTGGGAGAGAGCTGATACTGCTCTCCTTTGTCTTCACAGGGAGCTAGTGCCAGGCCACCCAACCCTGGTGTGGTACCAACCTGATGGCACCAGGGTAGTCAGTGAGGGACACACTCTGGTGAGTCGGGCCCTCTTGTGCCCTGTTTCTGGCCTGAGGAAAGGAGGGAGGGGCAGCTGGAGGGGGCCATCCCTGGAGGATGTGGGAAGATGCTACATCTTAACCAACAGGCAAGTCTCCTGGGCTGAAACCCTGGCCTAGCCTGCAAACTGGCGCTCTGTTCTGTGCTGTAGGAGAACTGCTGCTACCAGGGCGGAGTGCAGGGCCATGCAGACTCCTGGGCCTCCGTCTGCACCTGCTCCGGGCTCAGGTACAGTGGGTAGAGTCCACAAAAGTGGGGAGACGGCAGGGCATGAGGCATGGAGCTGAAAAGTTGTCTGACTTCCTGTCTCTTTCTCTAGGGGCCTGGTGATCCTGTCCCCAGAGAAAAGCTACACCCTGGAGCTGAGGCCTGGGGGCCTTCAGGGTCCTCCCGTCGTCTCCCGGATGCAGGATCGCCCCGTGCCGCGCCACACTTGCACCCTGAGCTGGCGTGAACCCGTGTCCACTCAGGCTCCACCAGAGCGCCCCCTGGGACAGCACCAGATCCGCCGGGTAAGGAGGAATGAATGGCAGGAGGGCTGGCCCGGGACCCTCAGAGCAATTTGTCCACAGTAACAACAGCTCCTGCTAATGGAGCAATTTCCACGTGCAGACACTTTATGAACATTATCTCCTTTACGCTTCCCGGCAACCCTGGGAGGTGGGTGCTATTGATAGCTCTATTTTAGTGAGAGATTAAATGACTTGCCCAAGGCCATTCAACTAATAAGTGGTAGATCAAGGATTTAGATGTATGTACTAGACTCCAGCTCCTCATGTCTTATGATCCCACATGTAGAGAGCTCACTTGGATATAGAAAATACGTAGTTACCAATAATAAAGCAATAAAAAACGAGTTTCCTAATTTGTAAAATGGAGATAATAAAACTACGGATCTTATAGGGCTGCTATGAAAATTAAGTGACTCAATATGTAAGTAAAGTGCTTAGAACTGTGCCTGACATATGGTATTTGATGGTGTTGGCTATTATTATTATTATTATTTTAATTTGGGGAAAAAAAAACCATTGAATTTGGAGCCAGAAAAGCAGGGCTCTGCCCCCAGCTTCCTAACCTACTTCTTGGCCTACCTGGGGCAAGTCCCTAGCCTCTCAGGCTCTCAGTGGTTCCTCTGTAAGAGGGGCTCCTCACTGTCCTCCGGGTGGGAGTGGACACAGCTTGGTCAGCCCTGCAGCTCCCGGCAGTGAGCGGCCCGTGTGCCTGAGGCTCCTTCTTGTCCACAGTGGCGGCGGGATGTGGTGACAGAGACCAAGATTATTGAGCTAATGATTGTAGCTGATCATTCGGAGGTGAGCTTGCTGGCCCCTGCTTGTCCTGCCCTGACCCCCACCTGCCCTGCCACCTTTCATGGGTACCTCTCTTAACCCACAGGTCCAGAGGTACCCAGACTTCCAGTACCTGCTGAACCGCACACTGGAAGCGGTCCACCTCCTGGACACGGTGAGTGTCGGGCTGGATGGCATCCTTGCGGCCCCCTAACCGTGAGAACCCCACTCCTGAGCCCCGGCTCTTTTCCAGTTCTTCCGGCCCCTGAATGTACGAGTGGCGCTAGTGGGCCTGGAGGCTTGGACGCATCAAGACCTGATAGAGATCAGCCAAGACCCAGGTGTCACGCTAGACAACTTCCTCCGCTGGCGCCGGACCAACTTACTGCCTCGTTTGCCCCACGACAGTGCCCAGCTGGTGACGTAAGATCCCCAGGCTCAGTCCGTGGGCCAGCTCTGCCCTGACCTGGCCAGTTGTACAGCCCAGCTCCCTACCTGAGGCCCTGAAGCTCTGGCCTCCCCTGGTGTTTGGCCTTGACCTTTGGCTTCTCAATTCCACAGAGCTACTTCATTCTCTGGGCCCATGGTGGGCATGGCCATTCAGAACTCCATCTGTTCTCCTGACTACTCAGGAGGCGTGAACATGGTGAGCTGTTCCCAGGTCTCTTGCCCATTCCCAGTTAAGTCCCTCTTGGTGGTACCATTTATTCACTGGAACCACCTACAAAGTTACCCAACGCCAAGTGATAGGTCTAGAGAGCAGGGCTGCTTCATGTGCCTTCTGCAGTCAGGGCACCCTCGCTGATGGCCAGCTCATCAGTGTACAGAATTCACCTAGGAGGTTTTCCCATTTTGGGGGGGGTAGCTGAGGCCCAAAGAACAGAGGTGATCTCCCTGGACCACACAGTGAGGGAAGGAGAACAGAGCTGAGCTAGAACCCAGGTTTCCCACCCCCCCAGGCCTGGGCTCTCCGACTACTTTATTTATTTATTTACTTACTTATTTATTCTTTCATTCATTTATAACATATTTTTATTGATTTCAGAGAGGAAGGGAGAGGAGAGATAGAAACATCAATGGTGAGAGAGAATCATTTGACTGGCTGCCTCCTGAACACCCCCCACTGGGGACTGAGCCAGCAACCCAGCATATGCCCTGACCGGGAATCGAACCGTGACCTCCTGGTTCGTAGGTTAGTGCTCAACCACTGAGCCACGCTGGCCTGGCTCTCCTCCTACTTTAGAAGCAACTCAGGAGAGAGGCAGTGCCTGCAGAGTGCCCAAGAGGTCAGCTGAGGAGAGAACAGGAGCATTTAGGCTGGTGCTGGACCTGGGATACCCCTTCCCATAGGACCACTCCATAAGCATCCTGGGAGTTGCCTCCTCCATAGCCCATGAGTTGGGCCACAGCCTGGGCCTGGACCATGACCCACCTGGGAACAGCTGCCCCTGTCCAGGCCCAGCCCCAGCCAAGAGCTGCATCATGGAGGCCTCCACAGAGTGAGTAACTGCAGGATGTAGAGGGGATGGGCAGGGGTCAGGGAGTGGTCAACAGCCCCAACCTTCCTTGCTGCCCTTCCCAGCTTCCTGCCCGGCCTGAACTTCAGCAACTGCAGCCGACAGGCCCTGGAGAAGGCCCTCCTGGATGGGATGGGCAGCTGCCTCTTTGAACAGCTGCCCCGCCTGCGCTCCATGGCTACTGTCCGTGGAAATAAGATTGTGGAGCTGAGCAAGCAGTACAACTGTGACTTCCCAGATGTGAGCCCCTCACCCAGAGCCTTGCCCCACTCACTTCTGTGCCCTGGCCCTGGCTCAAGGGCCCCCTCCAAGCCTCCTGAGCCCCTCTCTGGTTCTGAAGGGCTCTCCCACTCCTCTCCCACCTCCCTGTCTGCAGGGACAGCATGTGAGTTGTTGGGCTGGCTCTCACTGGCTGTGGGTGTCTTTGGGTTCGGGCTCTGGGAGGAACTGGAAGTAGCTCAGCGCAGCCTGCTCTGATGCCCAGCCCCTCTGTGCCCTGGCCCACAGGACTGCACCGATCCCTGCTGTGATTACTTCACCTGCCAGCTGAGGCCAGGGGCACAGTGTGCATCCGACGGACCCTGTTGTCACAACTGCCAGGTGGGCACAGACTGGACTCGTCTTCTAGAGCTCATTTGCCAGGGGCCGGAGTGGAGAGAGTCATTCTGACCTCCAGGCCTGGCTGGATTTGCCCGGCACCCACACTGATACTCACTTACCCTCCACAGCTGCGCCCGGCTGGCTGGCAGTGCCGTCCGAAGAGAGGTGACTGTGACTTGCCCGAATTCTGCCCAGGAGACAGCTCCCAGTGCCCTCCTGATACCAGTCTGGGGGATGGCGAGCCGTGTGATGGTGGACAGGCTGTGTGCATGCGAGGGCGTTGTGCTTCCTATGCCCAACAGTGCCAGGCTCTCTGGGGGCCTGGGGCCCAGCCCGCCGCACCCCCATGCCTCCTCACTGCCAATACTCGGGGGGATGCCTTTGGGAGCTGTGGGCGCAGTCCTACTGGCAGCTACCTGTCCTGTGACCCTAGGTAAGTGAGGAAATCAATGGCTCCTCCCCTAGGTTTGTGGGAGCCTTGGCCCACTCCCACAGATCCCATGCCTCCTTCCTCACTCCAGAGATGCCATTTGCGGGCAGCTCCAGTGCCAGGGGGGCATGGCCCAGCCTCTGCTGGGCTCAGCCCGGGATCTGCACTGGGAGATACTAGAAGCCAACGGGACCCACCTGAATTGCAGCTGGGTACACCTGGACCTGGGCAACGACGTGGCCCAGCCCCTCCTGACTCTACCTGGCACAGCCTGTGGCCCTGGCCTGGTGAGCAGCCTGGGTGAGCCAGAGTAAGTGGGGAGGGATAGCATGGTGAGCAGTGCCCAAGCCTCACTGCCCACCCGTGTGAAAGGCACAGATCTGAGGGGAGTTCACATTCTTGTGATTGAGCCAAGTCCTGTCATCCTCTGAGCCTTGGTCTTCCCATCTGAAAAAGCAGGGTGCGGCCTTAGCCGTGTTGGCTTCCAGTGCTGGTAAGTTCTGCAAGAATGTGATCCTTGCTCTTCTTCCCCACTGGGCAGGTGTGCATTGACCGTCGATGCCAGCCTCTGGCTCTCCTGGGAGCACAGGAATGCCGAAGCAAATGCAATGGGCACGGGGTGAGCTGGCGTGGGAATGAGAAAGGGGAGTAGGGAGCCTCCAGGCCTTTGGCAACAGACATCCCTGGTTCTAATCCTTGCTCTACCCCTGCCTAGCTGCATGACCAGGGGCAGGTTACTCACTTCTCTGAGCTCAGTGTCCTCGTCTGTCCAATGGGCAGAGTAATAGTACCCACTTCCTGAGGGACAAGAGAGGAGTCTGAAAGCTTCTAACTTGGTGTCCAGCATCTAGAAGGCACTCACAGTGGTAGTCGATCTAATTTCCTCCAGCATGAAGACTCCCAGAGTGCTGGCTCTCTGCCCCCCCTTAAACCCCTGGCTCACCTGCCAGTTGTGGATATCTGGGATCTTGAAAAAGCTGGGGACAGGGACACACGGCCCCAGAGTGCAGAGCCCCTCATTGTTCAACCTGTTCCTCCTAGGTCTGCGACAGCAACAGGCTCTGCCACTGTGAGGAGGGCTGGGCACCCCCTGACTGCCGTGCCCGGATCCGAGGTAGCAAGGCCTGGGGACAGGGACAGCTGGAGGGCAGAGTGGCTCATCCTTTACCCCTCTCTTTTACCCACCCCTTCACTGCTGGCTCCCTGACTCTCTGTGACCCCTGACCCCCTCACTTTCTCAGCACCTGACTTTACTCCCTGCCCGTTCCTGGGTGTGGAGCTCTCAGCCCTGCTCACCTTCAAACCTGCCTTCACCCCACAGCCTCCAGGTCCCTGACCACAGGGCTGCTCCTCAGCCTCCTGTTGCTGCTGATCTTGGTGCTGCTTGGTGCCAGCTACTGGTACCGTGCCCGCCTGCGCCAGCGACTCTGCCAGCTCAAGGGACCCAGCTGCCAATACAGGTACCAGCCTCCCTGCTCCCAGCTCCCTCCACAGCTCTTTTGAGGACAACAGCCTGGAGCCCTGCCCCTACCCCCTCTGCAGCCCCTGCCACCTGGCTCTGACCCCAAGCCCCTGGGGCCACAACCCACGCACCTCCCTTCCCTCCATGTTCCCTGGAACTCTTCACCTCACACGTAGACTGGTAGACCTGAGTGGGTAAGCTGGGATGCTAGGATCACCTCCCCCAGGAGGCCCTGTGCTGGGAAGTGGGGTTCCCAGGCTGTTCAGCTTCCGCCCCCCACCCATGGGGCCTAAGCCCCACACATGCTCCTCTCAAGGGGCTGCAAAGAGTTAACCCCACTCAAGAGTGGCATACAGGTGGAGAACAGGGCCTGAGGCTGAGCCCTTTCTCCATGCTTAGGGCAGCTCAGCCTGGTCCCCCAGAACGCCCAGGACCCCCGCAGAGGGCCCTGCTGATGCCAGGTGTCAAGGTGAGTCCTGAATGCCAGAGGACAGAGGGCCCCATTTTGGCCTGGCATCCAGCTTGGGCCCAGAGAGACTCACAGCGCCCAAGAGTCCATCAAAGGAGTCAGGGCCAGCCCTTTCCTCCCTCCTGGTTGCAGACTGAGAAACCAAGCCCAGCCTGGAGTCGGGTGGGGCAGTCGCCTAGAGAAGGGTCTGCTGACCTCTGAGCTAACCATGCTGGTGGCTTTGAGACCAAGCTGTGGTCCCTGGAAGGAAAGGGAGGGTGGGACCCAGGATGGCCTTCAGGTCCACCATGTGGAGAGGGCTGGTGAGTGCCCTTCCCTGAGCCCTCTGCACCTGATGACAGAAGTATGTGTGTGGAGGTGGTCTCTGTGCCCACTCTACCACTGGTCACCCCCTCTGCATGCAAAGGAATAACGGCATGCAAACCCCCATTGTCCTGGGGGTCCTAGCTGCCCCTCCCTGGGCACTAACCCTCTCTGCCCACATCTCTCTCTCTCTCTCTCTCTGCTCCCTCCCCCTCCCCACTCTGCCTGTTGGCCCCTCCTGCTATCTCAGCAGCCTAGTGCTCTTGGCTTCCCGGCACCCCCTTCAAGGCCACTGCCTCCTGACCCTGTGCCCAAGAAACTCCAGGTAAATCTGGGCCAGGCCCTGCCCTGGCTCAGGGCAGGCGGGAGGCTTGGTGCCCAACTGCAGTTCTCCTCCCTGTTCCCTGCCAGTGGTGCTCTTCATTAGGGGACCCGGGTGCCCCTCAGCCTTCAGACACTCTGAGCCCCAGAAGCAGCAAAGGGTGAGCCTCCTGCCTTGGTTTCTACCACCATCTGGTGGTTAGTGGCGGGACTGCAGCGGGCCAGGGACAGCACGGTGACCATACCTTCCCCCCCAGACATCTGCTGGCATGCACCTGAGCCCTGTGCGCATGTCCCGCCGCTCCTGCCCTCTGGCTGTTGTGCATGTCGATCTGAACCCCGTGGGAGCACCTCTGCATGCTCACTGCCCCTCAATGTGCTCTCACAGCCACTGCCCCTCTCTCTGTTCAGGCTGCGCTGGCTGGCCGACCTAATCCCCCCGCCCGCCCTCTGCCCGCTGACCCGGTGGTGAGGCACCCGAAGGTAACAGTGGGGGGAGAGAAGGTCACAGCCTTTGCCACCATCCGGGCTGTGGTGGTTGTGGCCGTGGTGAGATCTCCCCTCTGTGCTGAGGCACATACCCCACTGGTACTCTTATGGTGACAGATGGAAACAGAGATGACCTCTGGTGCTCCCCCCTCCCCAACAGCTGGTGTTTCCCAGCACCAGTACATTGGGGGGGGGGGGGGGATGCCAACACGACAGCCCCTCCCAAGCCTGTGTCCTACCTTCTCTCTTTCTCAGTCTCCGGGGCCTGCCAAGCCCCCACCCCCCAAGAAGCCACTCCCTGCAGACCCCCAGGGCCTGTGTCCTTCAAGTGACCAGCCTGGTCCAGGAGCTGGAATCCCGCCCCTAGTGGTACCTTCCAGGTGGGCAAGGAGGGTCGCTGAAAATGGGGGGTGGGCAGGGCCAATGGTCTGGGAAAAGGGGACCTCTGACCTTGTTTCTCTGCTTCCGGCACCCCAGGCCTGCACCGCCGCCCCCAGCTATGTCCTCCCTCTACCTCTGACCTCTTCTGAAGTTCCACCTGCCTCCAACCCAGCTTAAGACTTAAAGAGGCGTGGGCCGGTCCCCTGCAGCACCCCTCCACACACCCCGCGGTGATGGAAGGAGCCAGAGCCTGGATGCCAAGGAGCAGGCCTCTTAAGACACCCCACGAGCTGTCGAGCTGCGCCCTGGGGACCTGCGCACGCAGTTGCAGATGGGGGGTAGGCAGATCTGGGCGCTGGGCCTGGCTGAGGGAGGTGCGCACAGTCTCTGCTCGGTTGTAATAAACGGAAGATTTTAGGAGCTGGCCTCGGAGTTTGTCTGCTCAGGGAAGTCCGGGTCGCCCCCGCTGCGGTTCGTCTGGCCGCCAGGGGACGCTGTCGCCTCAGACGAAGACTGGATGGGGAGCACGAGAGTCCCAGGCCGGAGCAGCTGGCGTCCCCCGGGGGCCCGCAGCTTGTTTCTGCCCAGCTTGGGGCGGCTCTCTGCACAATCTATTGCCAAAGAGAATTGTACGCCCTTCGCTATCCCCAGTCGCCAAGCCCTCGCCCCCAACGCCTGGGGGCGACCATCCGACCAAGCAGCCAAGCGGTGGAACCTGCCGTCTCCACCCTCGGACTGGTGGCTGGGAAAAGTGGCTCTGGCTGGTGTGCTCAGAGCCCTGGAGCCGGGGTGGAGCCCGGCAGCGGCTCCCACGATCCCAAGGCCACGCACCTGCCTCCTCCCCCGCCCCCACCTGAGGGCTCGGGAACAAAGGTGCTTTGTACAAGCCGCAACCACCTCGTTAATTCGTCTTCAGGACCGGGCTGCGTGGGCCCCCAGCCCAGAAGGAAGGTGTGGGGCGGGAAGGGACAGGCGCCCACCCCAAGGTGGGCACCGAGCTCCCCACTGAAAGCTGGTGGGGGGCAGGCGGTTGCCCCTTCCCCCGGCGCTATCCCTACTGTGCAGAGAACACAGGGCGATGGGGGAGGTGGCTGGACAGGCTTCTCGGGTCCTGGCTCGGGCCTCCCTTTACTTTCTGGGCAGAGGGCGTGTGCCCCGTTTAAATCTCCAAACTCCCGATAACGCCTTCTGCCTGGCACTAGCGCGGACCCGAAGGACACGGCCTCCTGGATAACCCTCCTGGGTAGTGGGAGCCGCCCCTCCCGCCCCTCCCGCGCCTCCCGCGCCCTCGCCAGGCGGTCCAGCCTCCGCGGGAGCCCGGCTAACCTGGCGCTGGTAACGGGCTCGCAGGGGGTTAACCGGAGCTGGCGCTGAGCGCAGAGGCGGAGACGCGCTCCCATTGGTGGAAAGTTGTGCAGGGGCGTGGTCTGTGAGGCCCGCATCCCCCCGCCCCTCCACTTTGTACCTTTCTGGCGGCCGGAGCGAAGTGGGCCGGGCCGAACCAGACCAGACCGGACCGCGGGGGGCGATGCGGCTGCTGCCCCTGCTGCAGGCTGTCCTCTGGGCCGCGCTGCTCGGCTCCCCGCTGCACGGGGGCTCCGGCCTCCGCCACGACTTCTACTGGAACTCCAGCAACCCCAGGTAGCCGGGCCGAACCCGGGCAGCGCCGCCGGGCCGGGCGCTCCGGGGCTGGGCGCGCGTCCGCCCGACTCGCCCTGCGCGCCGCGCCGCGCCGCCCGCACCCGGCCGCGCGCCGGGACTCCTTTGTTTGAGTCGACGGGGGAGGGGGGAGGGGCGAGGCGTGCCCGGGTCTCCCGCGACCCGCACGTGTGGGGGGACGCGTAGAGAACCCCAGCCCCAATAACGGCGGGGAGGCTCCTGGAGCCGGGCTGAGGGGCCTTGGCCTGTTCTCCGGGCCCCGCCCCCCTCGCTGCTCTTCTGGGGACTCCCCGGCCCCCCCCCAGCCTGGAAGGGGGCTTTCCTTCCTCTGGAGAGAGAGAGTGAGTTACTCTCCTGCTCGCCGGGCCTGCCCTCCGACGCTCTCCCTGATTCCTGATCTCTCCTGTGGCATCTCTGCTTTCATCGCGGTCCTTATCCCTCCTAGTTCCCTCCAGGCTCGGCCCTGCCCTTCTAGCCGAGTCGCCTTTGGGTGAATCACCTTTGGGTGAATCCCTGTGTCCATACCCCTCCCCAGTTCCCCTGCCTCTCTCCGCTCTCTCCATCTGCTTGAGACCAATTGTGACTCTGTGTCCATTCACTCACTCACATTTACTGTGTGCGGGGACCTGGGCTCGGGGGCCAGGGATTAGAAAGAGAAGATGAGACTGTGTCCTCCCAGAGCCCAAAGACCCCCTGGGGAGGGCAGGCGCCAGGACAGGTCATTCTAATGCCAATACCATATGATAAGCGCTATTGTTGTCTTCCACCTCGGAATTCCTCTCTCTGGTTCCAGACCAGTGCCTCTGAGTCACTTAGAGGACTTGTTAAAAATCCAGGTCCTAGCCCCCAACGCTGAGGTTTCTGGCTCCTTCACTCAATTCACAAATATCTATGGAGCGCAGGCCTTGTGCAGGACACTTGTCCAGGCACTCAGGACCCGGTGAAAGGAAACATACACAGGCCTGACGTGTGCTCCAGTGGGTCTAAGCTGAGCCCAGGAACCTGCGTTTCTAATCAGAACTCCTGGTCCTGGTGGTCCTTGGACCACCCACTGAGGGGCAGCTGGAGGCCTTTCCTACACCAGGCTGGGTTGTGTGTCAGTGTGGTCGGGAGGGGGCGTGGTTCGTGCTGTATTGGATGCTGTGGGGGGGGCGGTGTGTCCCAGTCCTTCCCACCTGCACTGGCTCCCCCAGGCAGCTCCCAAGAGGTGGGGAAGGGAGTCCTGAGGAGGCTGAAGATTGGGTGATATGTGCTGGGGGCTCCCCTCCATGTCTGGAACCTGGGAAAAAAAAAAAGAGGGAGGCACCCACCATCCACTCCGCCAATGGCATTCTTCTTTGCATTGGATTGAGAGCTCAAGGACAGTCTCCCTCGCTGTGCATCTTTTAAAGGGGATACTGCTCCCAGTCTCCATCCCCGTGGCTGCCCTGTGGGCCCGATCTCTACCCCTTGCCTCTGTTCCAGCTCCTTCGCAGCAGCCGTCCAGCTAACAGTTATGAGGCACAGTGCTGGGCCAGGCCCTGGCTGGGCACTGGGCCGGAGAGATGGTGGCAGCTCCAACACCAAAGGCAGGGTGTGGTGAGAGGCCTTCTCACGTTGGAGCCGCGTGGTCGTGAGCCCTGCAGCCCTTAACCTCTGCACCTGGGCACCTGTCGCTCATCTATTGCTCGCACCCTCTTTGTCCCTCAGAAGTTGTCAGTCTGGAGAACTCCGGCCTCTCCAGACGGCAGGGCAGAGGCTGGCAGAGACCCCTGGGAAGGATGTCCCTGACCGTTGTGCCCCACCATGACCCCCTCAGCCCATGCCTACCTTGTGTCTGCAGGCTGCTTCGAGGAGACGCTGTGGTGGAGCTGGGCCTCAACGACTACCTGGACATCTTCTGCCCTCACTATGAGGGCCCGGGGCCCCCCGAGGGCCCTGAGACGTTTGCTTTGTACATGGTGGACTGGTCGGGCTATGAGGCCTGCCAGGCACAAGGGCCAGGCGCCTTCAAGCGCTGGGAGTGCTCCCTCCCCTTCGCTCCCTTTGGCCCTGTTAAATTCTCGGAGAAGATTCAGCGCTTCACACCCTTCTCCCTTGGCTTCGAATTTTTGCCTGGAGAGACCTACTACTACATCTGTGAGTGAGGAAGGGCACACTGGCGCCTCTTGGGGGAGGGTGGAAGCGGTACCTGACTGCCACCAGTCAAGGTGTGCAGGAGGGATGGGCCTGGGAATGGAGACCAGACCTGGGACGGGGGAGGCAGGAGGGGCTGTGGTCAGAGAGGGGGGCTGGAGGGGCCCTGAGTCCAGGACTGAGGGGGCACCTAGAGTGAGTCTATAGAGAGGAGGAGGAGGAGCAGGAGGAGGAAGAGCTAGGAAAGGGGCTGAGGGGACGAGCAGCAGCCATGAATGGGGCCTGGCACCTGGATGGGGCCCAGAGGGAAGGGAAAGCTTTCCAGGAACTGCAGAGAGGAGAACTTGGGAGGGTCTGCAAACCAGCCTGTGCTAACTTTTTCCTCCCACCAACCAGCGGTGCCGACGCCCGGGAGTTCTGGCCAGTGTTTGAGGCTCCAGGTGTCTGTCTGCTGCAAGGAGAGCAGTAAGTGGGTTGGGGCACGGGGAGCAGCCCTCTGGCGGGGGGGCCCTTCTGGGAAGGAGGGAAGGCATGGGGAGAGCCTGGGAGGCTTGGAGGGGTTCAGGGAGGGCTGTAAGCTCTGGCCCCTCTCCCCTGTGCAGCCTGTGGGAGCTCCCACTGCAGTCTGTGTGCTGGGTCAGCAGAAATCACATCTCCGGGGGCCAGGCCTTCGAAAGCTTTAGCTGAGCTGGTGGTCTGCACTGGCAATCTGGGGGAGACTCGGGAGCTGGGTTTTGGAGAGGACAAGGTGGTCGGTTATGGGGAGGGAGTGGCTGATCGGAAAGGTCCTGGAGAACAGGGTGGGAGCGAACAGCTAACGGGGAGAGTGAAAGGAGGGTGCTGGAATGGAGGACACATCGGTGCCACCCTCCCCCTCGCAGAGCCTGAGTCAGCTCATCCTGTTGGGAGCCCTGGAGAGAGTGGCACATCGGGGTGGCAAGGCGGGGGCACCCCCAGCCCCCTCTGTCTCTTGCCGCTGCTGCTGCTCCCAATCCTTCGTCTCCTGCGAGTTCTCTGAGCCGAGTGGACCTTTCCTGACACCCCAGGAGCCAGAGCCCCCCCAAGACGCCCTGGAGCAGGAGCCCCTGCCGCCTGAGCTAGGAGTGCCACGCCCGACAGACAAGGTGGAGGCGTGAGGAGGGAAGCCAGAGGGTCCGAGGTGACCCCTGCGGTGCTGGCCCCCTCGTCCCAGGCTGAAGAGGAGCCACGGGGGAGCTGCCGGCCGCCTTGGGCATCTGGAACCAAGGCCAGCTAAGCCCAGGTCTCCTCAGCTGCTTTGAGAGCCTTTCCATCTCCCAGGAAGACTGGAATTTGGTGGGATTGAAGCCTTGGGCCTGCTGGGGGCCAAGACGAAGAGCTGGGGCAGGTGGACTGAAGGACCAGGGCAAGGAAGCCGCCCAGACCTGCCATCTGTGCCCAGTGCCCTGTGGACCCTGCCTGAGGGCAGCGCCTTTCCCTTCCAGGGGGCCACTCACTTGTCTTCCGTGAAGACAGACTTGCCACGAGGCTGAATTTCATACCAGTTTGTATTTTTATAAGTTTCTGGACCAAACCCTCAATAAACCACCCATCTTTTTTGTTGCTCTCCTCAACCTTCTGCCCCCTGGCCCCTTCCTTGACACCAGGACTCCCTGCGGCCTCTGCTC